GAGTAGAGAACCCAGAAATAGACCCACGCTAATACACCTGACTGATAATTGACAGGTGCATGCAAAAGTAGTTCAATGGAAGACAAATAGTCTTTTCAGCAAATAGTGGGCATCCATAATTAAAAAAAGAGCTGTCACCTAAACCTCATACCTTTTAAAAACATTAATTCATTACTTGGTATATTCTCTGGAGTTTTTGGCAAAAGAAATAAAGAAAAAGAAAAAAAATTCAAAATAGGTCATAGATTTAAATGTAAAATGTGAAACTAAAAAGAATGAAAAACCTTTAGAACCAAACATAGGAGAAAATCTTTGGGAAGTAAGACCAGATGAACAGGTCTTATGACATGGCACCAAATGCAAGATTTATAAAAGGAAAAACTGATAAATTGAACTTCACCAAAATTAAAAAGTTTTGTGAAATGCCCTGTTAAGATGATCAGAAGATAAACTACTGGAAGGAAATATTTGCGAATCCTGTACCAGCAGTCCTCATTTTATGTTATGCGGAATTGTAAAATTGTGCACACTGAAACTATGCAAAACAATCTTAACATAATCAAGGGAAAAACTATGATTGTTCCATGATCTTTAAAATGTTTTGCCAGACATTAAAACAACTACATTGCTATTGGTTATAAACATATATAGAAATGAAAAAGCAATACTAATATTTAGTACACTGTAATTTAAAACATTAGAAACATTTAGAATTATGCTGGGCACAATAGCTCACACCTGCAATCCTAGCACTTCGGGAGGATCACCTGATTCCGGGGGTTTGAGACCAGCCTGGGCAACATAGCCTAGAGATGGTCTGTGTTTTCTACAAAAAATGAAGATTTTTCTACCAAAAAAAAAAACTACAAAAAAATCTTGCTGGAATTTTGATACAAATTGCAGTAAACTAATAGATAAATTTAAGGAGAATTCCATTTAATTCTTTTTTTTTTTATTTTGAGATTTTTTTAAATTTTTTTATTGTCCAGATGGGAGTGCAGTGGCAGGATTACAGCTCAAGTAATCCTCCCACCTCAGCCTCCCAGGCAGCTGGGACTACAGGTGTGTGCCAGTATGCTATACCAAAAAGTCAAAAAGTACCATTTTTTAATTTTTTTTGAGACAGAGTCTCGCTCAATCACCCAGGCTGGAGTGCAGTGGTATGACCTTGGCTCACTGCAGCCTTTGCTTCCCAGGTTCAAGTGATTCTCCTGCCCCAGCCTCCCAGGTAGCTGCGATTACAGACATGTGCCATCATGCCTGGCTCATTTTTATATTTTTGGTAGAGGCTGGTTTCCAATTCCTGGCCTCAAGTGGTCCTTCTCACCTTGACCTCCCAAAGTGCTGAGGTTACAGGCATAAGCCACTGCACCTGACCAAAAAATACAAATAATTTTTGTGTTTTTTGTAGACACTGGGTTTCACCATGTTGCCCAGGCTGGTCTTGAACTCCTGGGCTCAAGCGATCCACCCACCTCAGCCTCCCAAAGAGCTGAGATTACAGATGTGAGCTACCACACCCAGTCAGTTTTTTACTTTTCTGTAAAAACTTACGCATTAGCTAGGCATGATGACATGTACCTGTAGTCCTAGCTACTCAGATTGCGGTGGGAGGATCACTTGAGTCCAGGAGAGTGAGACTGCAGTAAGCTGTGGTTGTACCACTGCACTTCAACCTGAGCAATAGTGCAAGACCCTGAATGCCAAAAAAAAAAAAAAAAAAAAGAAAAAATTATGACATAGAGCAAGCATCTTTTCTCTCTTGGCTAACTAATTACCATACTTCTTTCTATGTATGAATAAGCCTCCAACATTTCACCCTTTGTACTTTCAATGTTGTGAGATTCTCAGAGAATTCCTGTAATGTGAAGTTTGTTGCCAGTGTCATTTCATCCTTTTTATCACTTTCCTAATTTGTGTCTGTAAGTTTGCCTTTGCTAAGTTCCTCTGTTTGCACATCCAGAGCTTATCAAACAGTGGCGGTGTTAACATTTCCACAGTCAGCCGTTTCTTCTATAACTCCATGTACATTCAATTCGAATTGCATTGGCAAAGTTACCACCTTTCATTTGTTTGCTGCTCTTTTATCTTTGCTGGCCAGTACTCTTTTTAAAATATATAATTAAAAAATATAAATACAGATGGAATCTCACTATATTGGCTAGGTTGGTCTGGAAACTCCTGAGCTCAAGTCGTTCACCTGCCTTGGCCTCCCAAAGTGCTGGGATTTCAGGCATGAGCCACTGTATATATAACATTTATAAAATGCCAGAAATATAAAGATGGAGAACAAATTAGTGACTACCAGGGCACAGGGATGTAAGAGAATAGAATGGGAGGATAAAGTGTAGCTATAAAGGAGTGGCACAGGCTGGGCACAGTGGCTCATGCCTGTAATCCCAGCATTTTGGGAGACCGAAGTGGGTGGATCACGAGGTCAGGAGATTGAGACCATCCTGGCTAACATGGTGAAACCCTGTTTCTACTAAAAATACAAAAAATAGGCCAGGCACAGTGGCTCACGCCTGTAATCCCAGCACTTGGGGAGGCCGAGGCGGGTGGATCATGAGGTCATGAGATGGAGACCATCCTGGTCAATATGGTGAAACCCCATATCTACTAAAAATACAAAAAGTCAGCTGGGCATGGTGGTGCATGCCTGTAATCCCAGCTACTCAGGAGGCTGAGGCAGGAGAATTGCCTAAACCCAGGAGGCGGAGGTTGCGGTGAGCCGAGATCGCGCCATTGCACTCCAGCCTGGGTAACAAGAGCGAAATTCCATCTCAAAAAAACAAAACAAAACAAAACAAAATTAGCCAGGTGTGGTGGCGAGTGCCTGTAATCCCAGCTACTTGGGAGCCTGAGGCAGGAGAATCACTTGAACCCAGGAGGTTGGGGTTGCAGTGAGCTAAGATCTCACCACTGCACTCCAGCCTGGGTAACAGAGCAAGACTCTGTCTCAAAAAAAAAAAAAAAAAAAAAAAGAAAAAAAAAAGAAGTAGCACATAGTAGATTTTGTGATCGTAGTGGGACAGTTCTTTAGCATGATTGTTCTGGTAATTAGATAAGTTTATATCTCAGGTAAAATTACATAGAATGATACACATACATGTAAATGAGTACATGTAACAAATGGTGAAATCCAAACAACGTGTATAGTCAACAGTATTGTACCTATATCCTTTTCTTGATTTTTTATGTATGTATGTATGTATGTATGTAGAGATGGAGTTTCTCCATGTTCATCTGGCTGGTCTCAAACTCTTGACCTCAGGTGATCCTCCCACCTTGGCCTCCCAAAGTGCTGGGATTATGGGCATGAGCCACTGTGCCCGGCCCTTTTCTTGATTTTGACATTGTAATATCTTTATGTAAAATGTTAACAATGGGGAAGCTGGATAAAGGGTATATGACACTCTCTGTACTATTTGTGTTATTTCCTGAGAATTTATAATTATTTGAAAGTAAGAATTGTTTGTTTTCTGAGATGGAGTCTTGCTTTGTCACCCAGGCTGGAGTGCAGTGGTGTGATCTCAGCTCACTGTAACCTCCGCCTCCCAGGTTCGAGCAATTCTTCTGCCTTATCCTCCTGAGTAGCTGGGATTATAGGTGTGTGCACCACGCCTGGCTAGTTTTTGTATTTTTAGTAGAGATGGGGTTTCACCATGTCGCTCAGGCTGGTCTCAAACTCCTGACCTCAGGTGATCCACCTGCCTCAGGCTCTGAAAGTGCTGGGATTACAGTGGTGAGCTGCTGCTCCCAGCCAAAAAGTTTTTTTTTTCTTCTTTTTGAAGGCCTTCTTGAGAGCCAGGCACACATCGTTTTTGTGAGACAAATGTCCCTAGTTTCTTAATATGCTCACTTACCTGTCATCTCACAGCTCTAGAAAGTGACTCAGCCTTCCCAGACCTCTTTGCTTGGCTTTGGCAGCCATCCGGAGACCACTAGCTGGGTGCAGGGAGAGCATCTCATGTTGTTTTAGCCCAGAGAATCAGGATATGGTACCCCATGGATGTGACTGTTCCTCTAGGAGCTTGTTTTTTTTTTTTTAAGAGAGGCTGATTGATTTCTTTGGTTGGTGTTTCTATGGAGTGCTTTGTAACTGGGGAGAAAAAAACCATAGGTAATAGATGAGCAATTTGGAGATGACAGCTGTTCATCATCTGGCTTTTTATAAATATCTGTGCCTTTTAATTTTTCTTGGAAGACAGATACATAAACTACTGTGACTTTTCAGACTCTCTTTATGGGCACTATGCTTTCAAATTGAGAAGAAAACAGTGTCACATGTATAAAATATTTAATTAAAGTCTTTTATTCACCTTTAATGTAACTTCATTTTTAAAATCTTTATATGTGAGTGGAGTGGGGAGGGATTGAGAGAAAATTGTTCGAGATTTAAGTATAGTACATATAGTAATTTAGCCATTTCAAACAGTTGAACAAATTGTATACCTGTGGTTAGAGTGACAGTAATGACAGTGATTTAATTTTCATCAGCAAATTGCTCCTGCTCTGACAGCTCTTACCCATAGTTTTCTCTGTCCAAGTTTACCTAAAAAGTTGCTGGGTTGGGTAGGGCAAGGCCCAGATATTCTGACTGTGGAAGGTGGAGAAGCAGGGTGTGGGTTATTCTACCTTAGGTCTAGCTGTTTCTTATGATGTTTGGGGTTGAAGATGAGCTTGCATTGCTTCCCCTTACCTCAGTGATGGTGACAAGAAGCCTTTCTGTTCTTCCTGAACTTTGGAAATCGGACTTGAATAAGTGAACCTTGGAACATCTTGAGTGTGTTTTTAGAGCAGAGTCCTATATAGATGGACTTTGAGGGTTCTCTTCTCTGAGTGACTTAGAAAGTGTTAGTATTTTTGATTGTGCGGATTAGAGAAGACTGTGAGGCTGGGAGCAGCAGTTTTTTGAGGATGGGCATCCATGGTAGACCACAGACATTTTGGGGAGTTGTCTCCAACCAATGTAATCATCTCTTTGCTCCTCTCCTTAGGCAAGGCAGGCCAAGGTAAAGCGGCTTTTCCGCCCCATTGAGGAACTGAAGAAGGACTTTGATGAGCTGAATGTTGTCATTGAGACTGATATGCAGATCATGGTACGGCTGATCAACAAGTTCAATAGTTCCAGCTCCAGTTTGGAAGAAAAGATTGCTGCACTCTTTGATCTCGAGTATTATGTCCATCAGGTACTATATTTCTTTGTCCATAAGTCAGACTTTTAACCAACAGCTCCAAAAATAAATCCCCCTTCTCTAAGCCTTAAGAAAATAGCATCAGCATCTTTACTTCTTTCCCAGAGCATAGACTATTTTTAATCCAGGCATATTGTCTTTTGTAGTAAGGTATAGTCTTAAAGGCCAAAGCCAACCTCTTTTTCTGTTTGAGATAGAGTCTCACTCTGTCACCCAGCCTGGAGTGCAATGGTGCAGTCTAACCTCACTGCATCCTCCGCCTCTTAAGTTTAAGCTATTCTTCTGCCTCAGTCTCCTGAATAACTGGGATTAGAGATGCCCAGCTAATTTTTGTGTTTTTGATAGAGACAGGGTTTCACTGTGTTGGCCAGGCTGGTCTTGAACTCCTAACTTCAAGTGATCCACCCACCTTGGCCTCCCAAAGTTCTGGGATTACAGGTGTCAGCCACCATTCCTGGCTAGCCAACCTCTTTTTCATGTGGAGTGTTACCTTCTTAGTACCTCTGAGGGTACCATAGAGAAAAAATGGACATAGTCCTTTCTATGTAGCTTAGAGTCTGGAAGAGGAAGCAATTAAATAAGTAACAATAGAACAAATTAATGATTAAATAATGAGATAATTTAAGATTGTAATGAGGGCTCCAGAGGGTGATGTAAGAGTATGTAACTGGAGAACTTAGAGCCTACTCATGGACAATAAGGGAGGCTTCTCAGAGGATGTGACATTTAGGCTGAGTGTTACAGGGTGACTGGGGTTGGCTGGGTGAAGAGGGGGGACTAGAGCAGGGACTGGCAAACTACTGCCCATAGGCCAAATCTGGCCCAATGCCTCTTTTCATAAATTAAATTTTATTGGGGCACAGCGACCCCTGTTTGTTCATACATTGTTTATTGCTGTTTTTATGCTACAATGGCAAGTTGAGTAGTTGTGACAGAGACCATATGGCTCAAAAAAGTAAAAAATATTTGCTACCAGGCCCTTTAGAAAAAGTTTGCCAATCCTTAGATTAGAGCATTCCAGCTAGAGGAAACAACATGTGCAGAGATTCTAGGGCAGGGAAGAGCTTGGTGAGATTGAAGGCCTGGAACAGATTGGAGTGACTGGAGCCCAGTGGCCTGGAGGGGAGCACAGATGAAGTGGGAAGGTTTTGGGGAGAGATGAGGTTGGGAATATCATGCTCTTTATGGTTTTTGCCTTGATCCTAAGAACCGTTGGAGAGTTTGAAGCAGGGAAGTAACTGATCAGACTTATAATGACTAATATTTCTTGAGTGTTAGTACATACCAGGCACTGTTTCAAGTGCTCTGTACATGTTAATTCATTGACTTCCATGGGTGCCCTGTGAGTATGTACCACTAGTAATCCCACTTCATAGCTGAGAAAAATGAGGCACAGAGAGGTTATATAATCGCTCAAGATCATCCAGCCTAGTGAGTGGTAGAGCTGGAATTTGCAACAAAGTCTGTCTGGCCCTAAACTCTGTGCTCTAAAATTTTTGGCCATTCTGTTTCTCAAAGGAAACCGATACCTTTTGAATTAAGCTCAAAAGGTGGAGCTAACGAGGAGCCAATAAAAGCCACTGATTTATTCAATAAATAAATTTATCAAGTGTCTACTAAGTCCCAGGCACTGTTCCAGGCACTTGAGATATGTCTATGAACAAAATTAGGTCTTACCTTCTAGCAGAAGCAGATAGACAAATATAAGAAAGGAATATGTTATAAATAATATGTTTAAAGGTGATAAATATTGTGGAAAAATAAAAAGTAGGGTGAGCTAGGAACTGGCAGCATTGAGAAGGAGCATCTCAGCCTCGAGGAACAGCAAGTGCAAAAGCCCAGTGGTGGGAGCCTGCCTAGTATGTTTGAATCAGTGCGACTGGAGCTGAGAGAGGGCAGAGGAAAAGTAGATGGAGCTCAGAGAGATAATGAGAGGAAAAACATAGAGAACCTGTAGGCCATGGAAAAGAGTGAACTTGGATATTATTGGAGGATATTGAGCAGAAGAATGATGTGATCTGACTTACTTTTAAAAGGATTCCTCCAGCTTCTGTGTTGAATTAGACTGCAGGTAGGGGGCTTGGTAGAAGCAGAGACCAGATAGGAGACTATTGCAGTAATCCAGACTAGGGACAGCAGTGGCCCAGGAGGCTGTGGAATCATAATCAAAGGCTTGTTTGAGATCCTTGTCAAGACATAGATCCTCAATGTCCTCCCATGCACGACAGTGTCCTTGTTCTCTATAAACTGAGCTAAAAGACATGCTTTCTTCCTTTAGGATTTTGCCAGTGTCTGTGGTGAAAGGAGATGCGTGTGCACTGTATCCATAGGAATTATGGGGCAGCCTCTTTATCTTCTTTTTTTGCTTATAACTGTTTCTCAGACCTCAAATAGCAAGACTCTGATCCTCTTAGAGAAAAAAATGAACCTGGGTGCTCTTTTCCGCTTTCCAGTCTTACTCTCCAGGGTAAAAACCAAAAACTCCAACAGCTTTTCCACTAGAGATATTTAAAGGATTAAGGATACAAGGGTTTTTGGCCAACTCAGTCCTCCTTTGATGTTAACAGGCTTCATTCTTACATATTTGGATGAATCTGTAGGTATCAGGTCACTATGGGCTCTTGCTCATGAAACACCAAAATGACCAGAGAGCTTATCATACCTAGAAGGGCATGGGTCCACAGGAGGCTTGGGCTAGCAGTGAGTGCCCAGCAAAGTTTTTGTTTTTCCTTGTAGGTCCTTTGTCACTTGGTGGTGTCTCCCCTAAGGTGACATCCCGCTTCTGCTTTTACAGGTCCCCTCACCAGACTCATCCTGAGGTCATCCCAAAACCAGTCCCTGGCAGAAGCCACATTTGTCTGTTGGTAGAGGAATGTTCTGGATCGTTGGTAGTTCGACTGGAAGGGCTGGTGTACCAGGCTGCCCTGTGGCAGTGTGAAGCTGTGATTTCACTGGGGGATTAAGTAGGACCCAGCTCAGCCTGAGTTCTGGTTGTGATGGGAACTTGGGGTGTTGTAGTACCAGCTTTAAGGAAGATGGCACTTTCCTAGCCAGGAAGTTCCCCAGTCCATTTTCATTCTAGACTCACTGAATGGCATTTTGAGGAGGCATAGGCTCCAAGAACCCAAATCAGGTCTGCCCAGGCTTCCTCACAGCCATATTTGAATTATTAAACAGGATATGTGAAAAGCAAAACCTTGTGTGTGGAAAGCAAATGGTGAGAGGAGTGGCCTCCGTCCGCCCCATCTACCTGGGGCAGTACATTTGCCTTCCTGCACGTGTCTCCTCAGTTATGTGCCACCATTTCTCCCCTTTGATGTTTCCTCTTCTCTCCTTGTCTTGTCACTGCCCTGCTTCTTTACTCTCCTCCTGGGTGTTGACATAGTTTCCTCCTGCACTCCCTCCTCCTCTTCCTCTCTGCCTGTCCCACCCCACCCCGAAGGCAGCACAAGAACGGTTTTGGCCCCAGACCCAGATGGGGAGCTGTGGACCTTGGCTGTGGTCATGGCTTCTCCTATATGTCACCAGGGAGGGCCCAGCTTTTGATGTGCACTGGGCAGAATGAATCATTTCTTCCTCACTGTTAGTGAAATAAAACATGAGAAAACATCTCAAAAAGGCTGAAGTGCTTATATAAATGTCAGCATTTCCATCATGCTGAATTACTATTGTAGTAATATAGATAAACTGACTCTAGAACAGAAGGTCTGTGACTCTGGGCTGTGTTGCTTTGGAGCTGACTGAGTGGCAGCTGCTCTGCTAGGAACTCATACCAGCTTTGATAAGTGGCCATTCCAGGTATGCTATGACAGGATTCTGAGCCATAGTTTTATATCCAGAAAACCTAGAGGAAGGACAACCAAAGAATAGGCAGTGAATTATTATTATTATTATTATTATTTTGAGATGGAGTCTCACTGTGTCCCAGGCTGGAATGCATTGGCACGATCTTGGCTCACTGCAACCTCCACCTCCCAGCTTCAAGCAATTCTCCTGCCTCAGCCTCCCAAGTAGCTGGGACTACAGATGCGTGCCACCACACCTAGCTAATTTTTGTGTTTTTAGTAGAGATGGGGTTTCACCTTGTTGACCAGGATGGTCTTGATCTCTTGGCCTCGTGATCTATCAGCTTCAGCATCCCAAAATGCTGGGATTACAGGCATGACCTTAGGCAGTGAATTCTTATATTGTAAAATCAGAGCATATGAGGAAGGAAGGGAGGTTCTTATGTCAGCAAAGCACCCACCTCTGAGTGTCTATAAATAACTGGGCCATGGCTCAACAGTTATTCCGCTTCATCAGAACAATTTGGGGCAGAAAAATGTCCATGGCCTGGGGCCACATGGCAGAACAGACTTCATGCTTACTTCACAACCTGGTTTAGCCATTACTTCATGTCTGTAGTACCAGAGGCCCATTCATTTTGTTGGCACAGATACCCCAAATTGCCTTTTTATTCACACTGGAGCTTTATTTCAGGAACATTTTTTTCTTATCACATTCATATTCATCAATGCAACAGTTATTCATTGAGCACCTAACCATATGCTCAGCACTATCCTAGTCCCTGGAGCTACAACTGTGGACAGACAGACAAAACCCTTGCTCTCATAGAGATTCCATCCAAATATGTGTGAATGGTCTTTCAAGTGGCAACAACAGGCTAGGCCACCACAAAACACTGGCAGAGTCAAATACCAATCTTCACACTTGATCTCTCCGTCAGAGTCCTAGTTCAGAGAGCCAAGGAAGCAGGTGGGAAGGGGCCCTGTGGAATCTGGAGGAGAAAGGTGGGTAGCAGCCACAGTTGTTCGGCTCCAGCTTCCTGAGTTTTCCTTATGATTGATAGAGTGGGATTAGCATATGGGCAAGATGAAGGCTTTGTGACAACAAAGATATATTCAAGGGAGGCTGTAGCTGCTACATGTAGAAAACAGGATCCAGTGACCTTTCTGAGGAAAGTGAGTCGTCTTGTTCTAATGAAGCGTGGGTAATGAGATCCCCTATAGAGTCAAAGAGAGAATCTGGACTTGGGGATTTGGAGCTTAAATGATAGCCTAGATCAATGCTGTTGAATAGAACTTTATGTAATTAAATTTTCTGCATTATCCAATACATAGTCACTAGCCAGTAGCACAGGCTTAGACTAAAGCCTTTGGGAGGGTGATTTTCTTGCATATTTGATCATGAATGTCTTCTGATTCAGTCAATCTTAGACGGAAGAGAAAGGTACTATTGTTATTCCACTCCTAGCACTCTTATAGCAACTCCCCCCCTCCAATAACAGGGCTCCTTTTATAGTCCCTAATTAAAAGTCAGCTTAAAAAAAAAAGTCTGCTGCCTCCACTGTCCCCATTGGGGTTGGACATCAACAGGAAGCGTGGCACCATTTAGTGGTGCTGATGACGCCAGATTCTTTGTGTTAACAGCTTGTACATTAGGAGTAAGCTTTGTGACTCATTACGATATTAGAATTTTCCAGGACATGTTTGGCATAAGCAATAGCTAGGTGTCATTTCCGCTGATTCCCACGCAGGTGCTCATCAATCCTGTTAGATGAATTAGGAGTTCTCAAACTTAAGATTATTCAAAAATTGGTTTTTACAGACCTTTTCCTAGTTAGTCAAAAAGGCCATTATTGCTTTTTACATGTCTTTTTAATTTGTTTTTGGATAGTCACCAAAAGAGAGAGCTTTGCTTTCCCTGATGGCTATGCTGTACTAAGCAGTGCCTCTGTTGCAGATGGACAATGCGCAGGACCTGCTTTCCTTCGGTGGTCTTCAAGTAGTGATCAATGGGCTGAACAGCACGGAGCCCCTCGTGAAGGAGTATGCTGCGTTTGTGCTGGGGGCTGCCTTTTCCAGGTGAGCAGTGTAACGGACATCCCATTGGCCAGAATTGGTTGGCCTGATCTGCTTGGAAGAAGGGTACACTTGAATTCGTGCATATTTCTACTGACATTTCAGTGTAATCTCAGTGAAACTAGAGTAAAATTTGATTCTGCCCTTATTCTAAGTAGATATGAATTTTTACCATGTTGTCACCATCTGTGACTCTTTGTTCCTCCATCTTATGTGTATGGACGTTTAATAACACGTTAGGTCACATTCTCTGTTTAATTCAAAGCTTATAAAAAGTCCAAGGTGAGCAGATCTCTTGAGCCCAGGAGTTCGAGTCTGGCCCGGACAACATAGTGAAAACCTGTCTCCATAAAAAATAGAAAAATTAGTAAGGTGTGGTGGTGCACACCTGTAATCCAAGGTGTTTGGGAGGCTGAGATGAGAGGATCACTTAAGCCTGGGAGGTTGAGGCTTCAGTGAACCATCATGATGCCACTGTAAGACCCTGTCTCAAAAAAGAAAAAAAAGACTTTGGCTTTTACTCTGAGGGAAATGGGAGAGTTTTGAAGGTTTTGAGCTGAGGAGTGATAATGATCGCTGGTGTTTGGAAGTCTCATTTGGTGCTGTAGGAGTCAAGGAGTCAGCTAGGCACAGGGAGTGTTGTGAGTAGGCTGTCCAGCAGGGGAGCAGCAGTCATAAGGTGCAAGCAGGGAGACCAGTTATTAGCCAGGGAAAAACTAACGTGTATAAAGTGCTTGTTCAGAGCTTTACACTTAATAAATGTTCAATACATAGTATCAACTATGTGAATACCTATCAAATTCTACCATGAACTAAATCAAGACCTCCTTTCTCAGGAAACTAAGTGAATTATCTCTGCCACTTTTCTGACAATAATTTAACATATTTTGAATTATCTTACTTCTCAATTTTTATTTAAATACATTTCTGACTTTTCTCTCCATTTTTATATATATATTTTAAAAAGTTTATAAAAAGTAAGACCAACTATAGTAGAGAGGGAGGGGAATAAACAGGAGTAGATCCTTTTGGCAGAAAAGCTACATCTAATGATGAATAAATGATAAGCCTGACCAAGGGGGGCCTTTCAGAGGGGAATGTGTCTTGCCCTAGTTGTCTGGAACCAATGTACATGCAGTCAGGTTATCGCACTCTGTGGGTTGGGAATTGTTGAGAATTTCAGTTAGTCTGGCTTGTGATGGAAGACTGATGAGGCAAGAGGAGTGGGGAGGTAGCACCTCAAAAGAGTAGATGCAGAAAGATACGTAGGTACCACATATTCTACACCTCCTACAAAGGTCAAGATGTCTGCATGCTGCAATTGGTCCATTGGAGCTATTGTTCCTCCCATTTTTGAAAATCTGTTTTAAGGACCATTTGTGTCTTTAAAACAGGAACAAATATTCTGATTCTTGCTGCAAGGGCATGGGTGGAGGCTATTAGATGCTTAGATGCCAGTCACGATGTTACAGGAGAAAAGCTATTCTGAACATATTTACCATTATAGGCTTTGTTTCAAAAAGATTTCCTTTGTGCTTTATCTTTGCTTGTGTTTTAAATCAGAATCTCAGTCTGATGCACTCTCACTCTGAAAGGAATTCAGTATCTTTTCTTAGTGAGTTGAAGGGCAGAGCTGGGAAGGCTGGAGGAGTTGTTCAGTGAGGAGAGGCACTGCCGGCCTTTGCTTCCCTTATCACCACTCTGCCTGGATCTTCAAGCTCTGGCTCCCTGTGTTGATGGTGTTGACAGTCAAGGCTCTGGCCTCCAGGGAAGCTCCACCTCCCTTGATCTCACCTCCTAGAGCCAGAGTCTCCCAGGAAGTCTAGGGAAATCTCCTCCTGTGCAGCCACTGGAAAAATGGAAAATCTGCACATTTAACCTTAGTAGCTGCGGTTCTAGTCATGAGGAAGTCCAGGAAGTCCAGGGTTTTAGCCTTATAAGGCTTTAGAGGCTTGAGAACTTACTAAAGCTCACTTTTTACTTCTCAGGCCAGGAAAGAACTAAATCAAACCTTATTACCCTCTCTCTCCAGACCCTTTTTGGAAATCTTAGCCTTACTCCCAAGTACTTTTATTCTACCTTTAATATGAACAAATTATCTTATATGTCCCTTGGCATTGCTTCTGGAAATAATTTCTCAGGGGAAACCCTGTAGCATTTTCATGTCACATCCTAGTTAAAGGGGACTTGAGAAACACGCATTGGGCCTTCTTTGCAGACCCATAACTCACTCAGGGGCTGTGCCAACGTGTGCTGTTATTAAGACTTTTCTGTGATTTTATTAACTTAAGACCATGCTAACATTTATACAGCATCACTAAAATTTAAATAGAGATAAGTATAAAATATTGCAATTTAGTGTTTTGGTGGCAAGCAAACTGCTGTATTGAAAATGTTCTGCTTGGGTTTTTGATGGCTCACTGGAGGGCTGTTACTGTGACAGCATGGTACGGCACCAGAGCTTTTGGAAGCCAACAGCAGGCTCTCATACACCATAGAAATGTCAGTGTTTTCTGCAAAGAGGAACTTGATGCAAGGTAAGGATATCTCTATAAAGAGAGGTAGGTTTCGGTACTCTAGTCTGATATTCATCATTTACTCTTAATGTCTTAAGTATTGACTTTGTACCTCCCTAACTACTTCTGGTATACAGGTGTGTACACACTTGCCACACCTGTGCACAAACACACAGGGATGGGATGAGCTTGCTCTTTGTCAGGAGAGTGTTAGGGAATAGCAGGCACCCTGGAATCATGGAGTCCCAGTGCTGAGTATAGTATCTAGACAATATTCTTTCTAGTTTTCTGCTGATTGGCAAGAATACTGCTCAGTCAGTCCAGATGTTTGGGCATTTAGGAGGATTAGGCAGACCACTGGACCTAGAGTCAAATAATCTAGTTTCAAGTTTAGTTCTGCCATTTCCTATCTCTGTGCCCATGGGCAACCTTTCTAAGCCTTACCTTTTTCTTTTGTTAACAGGGAACAATAATAGATGTTCTCTGCATTTCATAAAGTTGAGTGAATATCCAATAATATACAATGACCTGTGAAAATGATTGGAAAGCACCTGTCAGTGACAAGGCAGTATCAACATTATCACCCTCATCAGGATGTGTCCTTTATACTATGAGTTTCTGCTATAGAAATTCATAGTTCTTTTGTTTCCACAATAGAAACCTTTATCTGGGCCGGGTGTGGTGGCCGGCCTATAATCCCAGCACTTTGGGAGGCCGAGGCAGGTGGATCACGAGGTCAAGAGATCGAGACCATCCTGGTCAACAAGATGAAACCGCGTTTCTACTAAAAATACAAAAATTAGCTGGGCGTGGTGGTGTGCTCCTGTAGTCCCAGCTACTCGGGAGGCTGAGGCAGGAGAATTGCTTGAACCCAGGAGGTGGAGGTTGTGGTGAGCCGAGATTGCGCCATTGCACTCCAGCCATTGTACTCCAGGGTAACAAGAGCGAAATTCCGTCTCAAAAAAAAAACAAAAACCACCTTTATCCTCCTCATTTTCTCTTTTGTAAAGACTTATATTCTACCATGTATCTCCTAGTAATCTTTTTTTTTTTTTTTCTTTTTTTCGAGGTAAGGTCTCTGTTGCTCCAGCTATAGTACAGTGGCCGGATCTTGGCTCACTGCAGCCTCTGCCTCCCAGGCTCAGGTGATCCTTCCACCTCAGCCACCTCTGTAGCTGGGGCTACAGGTGTGCACCACTGCACCTGGCTAATTTTTATAATTTTGTAGAGACAGTGTTTCACCATGTTGTCCAGGCTGGTCTTGAACTCACGGGCTCAAGCAGTCCATCAGCACTGGCCTCCCAAAGTGCTGAGCTTATAGGCATGAGCCACTGTGTCTGGCCTCTTTGCTAATCCTGCTGCTTAATTGAGGGTATTTATTTGCCTACTTGGGCTAATTGCTTAATAAGGCTTCCATATAAATTTGCGGGGATGAAGAGGTCTCTTTCCTGGTGTTAAACATGAAGCAATTATTCCAAGATCAAGAAGAGAGAGTTCATGTAAATGGAATTGACATGACTACTAAATGTTATATGGCCACTGAAATAAAGTTTATGTAAATATTATTCACACTTATTTATGGGTCACACACATTTATTTTCTGCTGTTTGTTGCCCACATATAAGGCAGGTCAAGCTCTTGCATAAAAAGATTTGCAGTGGTAGGGGTGCTGATGCTTTTAGCAGCTTTGTCTTTTCATGGTTTTTCTTTTGTCTCAAACCTGCTTTTTCCTTCTTCAAGTCAAGTATTTTCATTGGCCTTTCTGTGACCTGATTAAATCTCATGATGGCACTTGTGTGTGTCTGACTGCAGTCTGACCTACCAGGAGTCTCTGGAGTTTCAGACTAGTCATTTGTGTTTCTGTATAAGGGGAGTCTCAAAAAGACTGTGAATTTCAGAGGCCGGCAGCCTTCTGTAATTTGGTTTTGGGTCTCAGCAAACTGGCCGCTGGCTTTTGTTTTTCTCTTAGCTTCCTATATATTTCCTTTACCTCATTACTGTCAAGAGTTAAACTATCAGGTAACTAGTATGTCTGCCCCGTGTAACACTGGCTTTGTTGTTCTCATGCCCCTGCCTCAGTCATCTTTGGAGTCCTATATCCATCTTTAATAACTCATGTTCTCATCTGCACATTTATGAATTATTATGCAATTACATGGGCTTCTAAGCATTCATGTTTGTAATACTTTTGAACTTTCTACAGTTTGCAGATGTCATGGAACTGAACCTAGTATAAAAAAGGATGTGCAAGTGCCATTAGGCATGGTGAGATTATGTGCTCTTATAATGGATCCCTGGAACAAGATTCTGTTCTTCCCCCTCTATCCTTGGCATCTTCCTTGGCACCTCCTTGGCAGATTTTGGGAGAGATAGATAGATAGATAGATAGATATCTCCCTTTGTAAAATGAACGTGTCCCGCTCCCTCAACCCTGTTCCCTCCCACTTCATGCTTTGTTGGCTCTCTAATTTTCTCAGTTGTGCTCTT